TCACGTGTGCAGCACGAGGCACGCGGACGCGTCGCCAAGGCCGTGTTCTCCGCGGTACGCAACGCGTTTTCCCGCAATCAGCACCGAGTCCACCACAGTGACGCGCGAGCCCGGCGGGAATCGGTTCGCCACCACCACGCCCGCCGCCGGAGCGCGACTCAAGCCCGCTGATCAACACATCGACGCGCTGTCCAGCAGGCGGGTCGGACCGCCACCCGACAACGTACAGGCTCGCTCCGCTCAAAAACGTGCAGTCCGCCAGCGTCACTTTGCGCACGCTCCCTGACATCGACTCCACGTCCACCACGACGTCTGCCGCAAAGGTCACGCCAACGTAGCATGCCACCGACGTCCCGAAACTGACGTTCACCTCCACATCCACACGCACGTCCCGCACGCACAAGTCAGCGCCGTCGGTGCTCGGTGGCTCGGGAACAGCAACGGGCAGGCACGCATCGCCATGGCCGCCCTCAGCGCACGTGCAGGCGCAGCCATCACTCGAGACCGTCGTCGTGTACGCAGGGAAGCACGGTGCCGCGAGGGCGCATGGGTCGCTGCAGCTCAGGATAGTGGCATTGTACACGGACGGGATGCTGTATTTCACTCTCTCACCGCCGTTCACAGTGTTGCACGCGGCCACAATCGCTCCGTTTGTGATATCGCGGGGCCTTATGGGTATCCTCAGCACCGTCGGCGTGACCGTGCTGGACATGAATTGGTTGCCGGACACAGACACCGTGGAGTCGCGGACATTCACCGTGGGGCTAAAAATAGCAAAGGCATCCAATGGGGATTCACGGCAGAGGTTGCCGCTCAACTGCAGCCAGGAGTTGTAGTAGATGTTGGAGGAGTACCTTGAATAAAACACAGCCGAGCTTCCCTGCATGTCGTTGCCCTGAAACACAACCGCGGATTGGGACTCCACACGTGAGGCCCCAAAAAATAAAATGAAGTACCTCACCGGCATCGAAACAAGATTGCCTCGGATCACCACGGCAGAGTTGTTCAGTACACTCAGCGATAAATACTGGCTATTCCCTTCAAAATATATAAGCGTACCATCACCGCCAGCCATATGAAACGTGTTGCCCATCACTGCAAACACGGAGTGCCACGACACCCTCAGCGCAGATCTGACAACATAAATGGCGCTTGACGACGCCGTCACGATCTGAAACACATTGCCGCTCAGCACCACCGCGGAGTCGTTGCTGATCACCAGTCCATTCATCGCAACACACGACGGCTTCCTAAGGACCAAACCCAACCGAGGGATCAGCCTCGTGACAGTGAAGCGGTTCCCGCTGATCGTGATGTTCGTGCGCGGTGGAAACACGCCCTCCGGGCTGAGCAGCGCGTCATGGAACGTGTTGCCGGTGACAACAATGTTCAGCGCCCCCACAGCGGTGTGCACGTTGCTCAACAGCAATAGCACGGCGCCGTCCCTCCACGTGCATCCATCGAACGTGACATTCGCCACGTCGCCCGTCATCCCCCCAAGCAGCACCGTCAGTCTCATGCCGCCCCCGCTGAACGTCACGTTGCGGTAGCACAGCCACGACAGCCCGCTGCCCACAGCCTGCATAACCTCGGGGTACACCATGTCGCTGATGCACTCACCAACCGGCGGTGTGGGCGGCGTGGGTGTTGCTGGTGGTGGTGTTGTTGGTGGCGGCGGGCCAGCAGGCACAGGCGCCGGGACGCACACATCGCCGTGCCCTCCAGCAGCGCACTGGCACTTGCAGTCAATGACCGCCGTCGTCAGCGGTGCAAAGCAGTCGCCCTCCTTCGTGCACTCCCCGCACGCAGCAACCGTCGTCACGTTGTTGATGCCGTGGAGCTCCAGTTCGGCCGCCGTCGTCACCTCCCGTCCCGCGACAATAAGACACCCAGCAATGAACCGGTAGCCGGCGACAGCCTGCGATAGAAGAGATACCGACAACCCCGTCGAGCCCATCTTGCAGCCCGTCAGCGTCACCACACTGCCGCCGTCAATGCTCACAAAAGCGGACTCAGTGTCGTAGAACATCGCACCCACACCCACGTCGTTGTAGCGCCAATCCAGCCAGCTTGATCGCTGGACGGTCCACGAGTTTAGTGAATAGATGGCGTAGGACACGGAACCGCTGTTCCCCATCACGCGCAACACGCTATGCTCCGACACGCTGAATCGGGAGTGCTGATACAATAGGCTCGTTCCGGAGGCCATTGTATTGTTGAGCAGCGCAAAAACGGAGTGGTCACTGACACTGAGGATATCCAAGTAAAAAAAGTGTGTGTATTCCTCGAAGCTGCAGTACCGCGCGTACAGCGAGCTGCCACCCACCAGCGTCAGCGTCCCTGTGGAGCGCAAACCAAACGCATCACGCTTCGTTGCATGCGCATTTACGTTGCTGACCAGCAGCGAGGACGCATTCAATACAACGTCGTGCAGCAGCACTACACTCAGCATTTTATTCACGGTGTCCGGCCAAAAAACAAAAGAAGACTGCACCGCATCAACCTCCGTGACAGCAATGTCGCAGTGCTGCGGGAAGGCAAGTGCAAAAGCAACAGCGGAGGACCGCATCACAGTCCGGCTCACGCGGATCAGGACGCCAGCTGACTCGGCCGCCTCAACATCTCCAACAAACTGCAGCACAGCCTCGTCAAGGAATTTGCACCCAGTGAACGTGATGTTGATGGGGAGATGCAGCGGCATACTGTCGAAGGAAAACGTCAGCACTGCACCCACACCGCTGAATGTCACACCCACGTAGCAGTGGTGCGTCTTCCACATTTTCAGTTTAAGTCTCGTCAGCGTCTGGTTCACCACGCAGCTCTTGTCGCCGTCGACGGCTCTCTCCGGCAAGGGCGGCACAACCGTGTCGGGCACCTCGAAGGGAAGACACGACGCGCCATGCCATCCGTCCCTGCAGCTGCACGAGCACGAGCCGCGGTCCACCGACTCCGTCCCGGGCATGTAGCACGCCGCGTCGTCGCTGCACGTGCCACACCTAAGCACCACCACGCCCTCCGGAAACACACCGTCGTACGACACCTCCTCACCGCCCTGCAGGTTGCACCCAACCACAAATTGCGCGGGCGACGCCACAATCGTGTTCGGTGGAAGAAGTTTGGCAAAGACTGCACTTCCCTCCACCTGACGGTTGTTTGCAAGCACCACGGTAGTGCCGCTGTCTGACAGCTGAATTTTGTGCTGGGGACGCAACATACCTATTATTGAGACGGCACTTACGTTGTTGCCCTCCACACGCCACTGCGCACCGCCCTCGAGGGTCACCGAGCCAGACAAATACACAAGCGCAGGATCAAAAAAATCAGGCACGCCAGCGAAGGTGCAGTCCGCCACTCGCAGCAGCCCCGCGGAGCTCACGGCGGTATCCCCAAAAAGAATAACGCCATTGACCGAGCTCATCGTGTTGTTTTCCACGTCAATGTGGCCGCCGTTCCTCACATCAACAGAAGTAACGCAAACAGATGATTCCTCACCGTCATTCTCTATCGTACTCAGCGTATTTCCCTTCACAATGATTCCGCCGCCATCAACAACAGCAGCAATGCTGAAATGAATTGCGTACAGATTCCCCTCGATGCGGTTGTCGAGTAGCAGCAGCGTCGAGTTCGCACCAAAAGTAAACCTCGGGAATCGAATGGCGTGGTTCGACATCGTCACAAGCGTACTGCCCGCCACCAGTATCTGGGAGCCCACGCCGAAATCGCCCTCAAACTCCAATGCACCAGAATCCAGCATCGAGGATGTCACGTTCACGTGTACGCGCGCACCACTCCCCTTGATCGACAGGTCCATGAGGACGCACTGCAGCAGCGTGATGTTGAGTGTTTGTTCTGGCGCGTCAAAATGCAACAGGTCCAGCACGATCGCGGCGGTGAAGGTCACGTTGACAAAGCACAGACCACACACACCGGGATCAGGATCGTCCAAAGAGCTGATGCTGCCACCGTGAACGCAGCGGACCTCCGTGTCCTTCGCGTCGGGGAGCGGAAGCGGTCCAAGGCCGTCCGGAACCGCTGCTGGCAGACACGTGTCACCGTGGCCGCCAGCAGCGCACTCACACTCGCAGCCGCTGATGCTGCTAGTCCTCGCTGCGAAGCACACGGCGTCCACGGTGCACGCACCACAGTCCAACACCGTCACGGGCGTCCCAATATTGAGCTCTTCTTGGTAATCCGTCACAGGTGAGCCCCTTAGCTCGTTGCACACGCCGTAGATGGTCGGGCGCGTGTCGGATGGTGGTGACCAGTTGCTTGTCATACTTACAGTTGTTGACAAGTACGAGCCGTACGTGAAGTTGTTGTCAAGTATCGACCACACACTCCGATCACAAAAAGCAATGCCGTAGTGGTTGCTCACGTACACAACGTAGGCGGTGCGGAACTCGTTGTCGCGGTGCACCAGCCAGCTGCCGTCAGTCACAGTCAGCGAGTTTGCCATGAGCATGGCGAAGCCTAGACGGAAAGTGCTGGACACAACCTGCAGCACGCTGCCACCATCCACAACAACATCCCCAACCACACACGCGCCTTTGTAGATTTCAATGCTCGGCGCAATCCACGAGCTGTTCTGTATGGAGAACACAGAGCCGCTAACAACGCGCAGTTCCGACGAAAGAGAGTAAATCACGTGCGTCCGCGACAGGACAGCACAGCTGTCCATGTAGAAGACGCTGGACAGGTTCACACCGAGGCCGCGCTCCAAGAGGATCGCAGCGCACGAGCCCCCGCCACACGCCAGCATAGACCGTGTCATGACAATCCGCGTCGACAGAAGCCGGACACCGTCCAGGACAAGCGCGGGGCCGTACCGGGATCTCTCGTGGCCAGGGGTCGTCGGCACGTACTGCGACCCGCCAACCGTCGCGCGCAGCGTTGAGTTCGCCAGCAGCACACTCGAGTGCTGCGGCATCGCGCCATGCAGCACGATCGTGCCCTCCAGCGACGTCACGTTCGTCATGTTGACGAGGGCGTGGGGCATCAGGCGCGACGTGCCCTCGCTGAGGCCGCCAATCCGCAGCTGCGCGCCGCCCGCAAGCACGCAGTGGCGCAGCGTCACGTTCAGCGCGTCAGCGAACGCGTCCATCGAGCGCAGGTCCACCGCCACAGTGATTGGTCCGCTGAACATTACCGAGTCGAAGCACGCCGTCGCCCGCCCGCCGCCAACCGTCACGGACTCCGTCAGCGTCACGCCACTCACGCAGTCCTGCGCACCGCCACCACCGCCGCCGAACCTCGCAGGCGGCACGTCGAACGGCAGGCACGCCTCGCCCACACCACCGTCGCGGCAGCTGCACACGCAGTCAGAGAACGACGCCGTCAGCGCATCGAAGCACGCCAGCGCTGCCGCACAGCCGTCGCACGGAACCACGCTCACGGAGGGCAGGCCGGCCATGCGGTAGTCGCCGCCGCTCTGCAGCACCCGGCCGCCGGCACGGTTGCACTGCACCGAAACGGCACCGCTCGTGATCGTCGGCCCGGCGACAAGCGTAACGCCAGTGGCAGCGCAGCGCGCAATCGACACGGCGCCGCCGCTCAGCGTCACACCCGACAGCGACGCCACAGACGACGTCTCGCCCACCGCCCACACGTCGCGCAGCTCCAGCCACCCGCCGTCACCGATCGTCCCACCGTCGCAGCGCACCAGCGACGACGCAACAAACCCCTCGACGCCCACAAAGCGCAGCACCGAATCAGACACCGCGAGGCGCTCTCCAAGCACAATGCCGCCGCCGCTGCTCACAACCGACACGTTCGTCACGGAGAACACCGAGTGGCTCCGCAGACTGAGAATCGACGAGGACGCCACATGCATCGCGGACGCGGTCGGACCGGCCGACGCCTCCAGCAACACGCCGTCAAACACCACCGCGCTCGACAGCAGGTCCACGCCGCCGCCAACGTACACCGCCGACCCGCCCGCCTGCAACGACCTCAGCACAGTGTTACTCACACGCAACTGCGACTGCAACAGCGAGGTCGCGTGCATCACAAGCGGCGCCGCCACCGCGTCCGTCAGTCCGCTCAGCTGGGAGTAGCGCATCGGCCCCGCCGTCACAATCGTCGAGTCACGGACCGTCACGTTCGTGTGTGCCGGCAGGTTGTGCACAAACACAAGCGAGCAGTAGCTCCCGGATAGCCCGCTCACGCTCACCTCCAGGCTCCGGTCACTCGCCGGCTCGCCACTGTAGCCCCGCACGTAGATCTGCGCACCGCCGTAGCACACGCAGTTCCTCAGTTCGATGCGCAGCGCGCCGGGAAGCATCGCCGGCACGTCGAAAACCACAGCCACGCCGTTCGTGATGGACACGCCGTCCATCAGCACCGTGTCCACGGCGCGGCCAACCGTGATGGCTCTGTCCACCGTACAGCCCCGCAGTCGCAACATCACCGCGTGCACAGCGGGCATCCACGCCGCCGCCGCAACCACAAGCGTCAACAAAAAGAGCAGCGCCACACGCACAGCCG